TCGAATTTTACCACCATCACCACCTCAACAACAAACTGTTCAAAGAAAAAGAAAGTGCATGTGTTTTAAGCCATCAAAAATATGTGAAAATCTACATGGTGACACAATGGGAGACGCCCAGATCATTTCTTGGGTTGAACGGACCAGTTACTATAACAACATGGTTGACCTACCGAGTAAATGAAATTTGCTCCCTTTTGGTTTTTTTTTTTGTTTTTTTCTCCCAATTCCAATCAAAGTATCACTCCTCCCCTAGCTAGGGATCTAGTTCGGTAATATCATATTATCGTCATGACTTCATTCTTCTCAAAGATCTCCATTCAGTCAAGAACATACTTGCAGGCACAAAAATGTTCCCATATGTACGACTAGAACGAGGGGTGTGCTAACCAAACCTACTTGGCAAACTTCCAGCCTCTACAGGGCAAGTGGCCAGTGGTTCTTTAGGCCAACAAAGGAAATGGAGTTACTATATGTCATTCTGTTCAGACTGAATTTTCTCTGTGATCCATTCACAACAAAGTTAAGAGCAGAGGATATGCTGCGTTGATGTCTTCACTGTGGCACACTTGATCCCAGCCACAGAGGCAGGGTCCCAGAATTGTCACGGGGGCCCTTCATGATAAAAGGTTCTCTTCTCCATGGCCCGTTTTGAGAGGTACAATGCTTAGGCTACAGGATAAAAAGGTATCTGCTGAATTAAAATGAGTTCAAAAGTCAAGCGACCCACTCATTTTCCATCTAGAATCTAAACCGCGAAAAGAACAAAACAAGAACCATTCCCCAATGTCCCCCAGATGAGTGTATTTTACCCAATGTGGAGCTGCAGGCTGGAAATACACACATGGTAACCAAGAGACATGTTCTGTAGCAAAATAATGACCTTAGTAAAGAAGACCATGCTTACCAGCTGTATGAGTTTTAAAAAGTCAATGAAGACGTCACTTCTCAACATGTTTGGGTCCATGGTTACTGAAAAATACGGATGGTGAGCCAGGTTAGCCTGGGGCTCGGTTGACCTCTCTATTAAATTGCTCTGTCCTCTAGGGAGTCCTACAGGCCTTACCAGTACACCACCGCCTCCTTGGGCAGTGGAGCTAAGACCTCTCAAATACATGAAAATCCACAAAACTTGCCTTCTCCCAGCAGCCTTGATAGCAACATAAACCCTCCTATCAGTCCCAGGCACCTCACTTGATTCACACATGCCTGTATCGTTCAATATCCATTTTGCTGCCCTAGCAGGATGATGGTGAAGTTCATATGAAAAAGCAAAAAGATCTTTAAACCTGGACTGGGACTCCTGCTTTGGCAAGACATTTCTTAATCTGAAAATCTGAAGTCAACCAAGAAACCCTGGTTGAGAGGGCACGTCTCATAATGACAGGAGCTCTCAAGAGGTTACCCCCGCCGCCGCCCCAAAAGTGATTATAAGGCTGTCAGAGAGATTTAAAGTTTTCTATTCAAGAATGAAATCTTACCACTTGCAACAACGTGGATGGAACTAGAGGGTATTATGGTAAGCAAAATAAGTCAGTCAGAGAAAGACAAATACCCTATGATTTCACTCATATGTGGAATTTAAGAAACACAACAGATGAACATAGGGGAAGGGAAGAAAAAAATAAGATAAAAACAGAAAGCGAGGCAAACCATAAGAGACTCTTAAATACAGAGAACAGACTGAGGGTTGCTGATGGGGTGTTGGGTGGGGGGATGGGCTAAATGGGTGATGGGGCATTAAAGAGGGCACCAGTTGGGATGAGCACTGGGTGTTCTATGTAAGTGATCAATCACTACATACTAGTGATCAATCTAGTCCTGAAATCATTATTACAATCATTAATCCAACTAACTTGGATTTAAAAAAATAAGGGTGAAAACAAGTAATAAAGTTTTCTATTCTTTTATACCTATAAGAGTATTTACCCTCTTAGTTTTAAAGCTCGGATACCAATATTCAGGTGCTGTGGCCAGAACAGACACTTCCCCCTGAGAAGTTCAAATTCCTGCATGAGGTCGTTCCCAGACTGCTTCCTCATTTCTTAACCCTCCTTGCTGTAATGCTTCTCCTGGGCCCTGTGCTTTAGGTACACTTATCTATTTACTAACTCTGGGTCAGATGTCTTTCTCTTTTCTTTCCTTTTCTTTCTTTTCTTCTTTTATTGACGTTTCAAATGATTTCATCACATAACTTCTACCGGCATTTACAACTAGCACTGACTGAAGTCATTTTGAGTTGTACCTTTCCCAAACAATGTTCCATTTTTCAGAATAAAGTAACTAAAAGAAAATCATGAGAGACTTTTTACAAAACATATTCCCTCTTTTTTAAGGGAGGCAATTTTAGAGTGGGGGAAAAAAAGCCTTTGTCTTATTTTCTGGAATGTATGTGGTGTAAATGCAAATTAACATAATTGTTAGCATAGACTCTTGGAGACGGGGAAAGCTGTTGAAAAAAGTGTTCATCTAATTGGTATTTATTAAGAACCAGGTACACTGCTAAGCACTTTGTGTATTTTAGTTCCTTTAATCTTTACAACAAACTCTGGGGTAAATATTATCTCCATTTATCAGACAGAAGCTCAGGTCATACAGCTAATGAAGTACAAACCTAGGATTTGACTGTAGTTCTGACTCCAGAGCCCAAATCTTAGTCACATCACTGAGCTGCGTTGTCTCCTTGCTTTACCTTGCTAGAGGATACAGGAGTTATCCTGATGACAAATGGACAAAGGCCAGGCCTAAAAAAGCAACCCCTTAGGCACTGTGATCATTTGTGAAAAGACCAGTGGTTCAAAAAGGATATTTCACTAAGACATTAGAAATCAAGCCAAGAGAGAATAAAAATTCAGTAGATATTACATTTTGAGTTTGAAAAAGCTTATTTACTGGGTCTAAAAGAGGTATATTCTCCATTACAAAAGACATATGGGAAATAGATGACCTCTAGAATTTTTATTTACTATCTTTAAAAAACTGTGTGCAGCCATGAGAAATAATGAAGTAAATCTATCATTTCTGACTTAGAATGACCTGTAAAATATAGATTTTAAGAGGGAAAAAACAACTTACAGAAGAAAAAAACATTTTTCCTTGTGCTGTGAAGGATATCAGTGGGATAATTGGTGTAGTTTGAAAAAGGTCTCTAGATTAGATAACATTAATTGCCTGATTTTGATAACTATACCGTGATTGTACAAGAGAATGTCCTTGACCTTAGGAAATACACACAGAAGTATTTAAGTGTAAAGTGGCTTGGGTATGTAACACAAGCATTAAAAAAAAAAATACACACACACACACACACACACACACACACACACAGGAAATTGAGAGGATGATAAAGCAAATATGAAACGTTAACATTTGGGAAATCTGGGTGAAGAATATACAGAAATTCTTTGCATTATTTCTGCACCCTTTTTATAAGTCAGAAATTCTTTCAGAATAAAGTTTTTAAGAATCAATCACCGAAAAGTGTATAGAATAAATTTCAATTTGTGTTTAACAGAGATATGCATACACACCAGTAGATACAAAAATTGTTTCTGAGGAATACATAAAGCGCTTGTAATGACGTTTACTTCTAGAAGCCTCGGGGTCTAGGCTGGAAGGGAACGCACTTTTCATTGTATACTCTTTGGACAGATTCTATTTTTAAAATATTTTGCATATATACTATTTCCCCTTTTAAAAGTCTTTTTTTTTTTTTAAGTTTATTTATGTTGAGAGAGACAGAGAGAGCTCAGGGTGGGGGGCAAGGGCAGAGAGGGAGAGAGGGAGAATCCCAAACAGGCTCTGCACTGTCAGCACAGAGCCTGACACAAGGCTGGAACTCACGAAATTGTGGGATCATGACCTGAGCTTAACAGACTGAGCCACCCAGGCACCCCTCCTCTATTTCAGTCGAATCCAGGTAATATGTCTGTGACTTCTACAATCAAAGCCAACACATAACACCCGAGGGCAAATCTGAAAGTTATTTTTAAAACGAAATACAAAGGCTGTATTTTGTATGACTCCATTTATATACAATGTTCAGAAAAGGCAAATATATAAGACAGAAGTTAGTATAGGGGCTGATAGAGGCAGGTGGGGGAGAGGAATACGGAGTGACTGATAATAGGTGTGAGGTTTATTTTGGGGGTGACAAAAATGTTCTCAAATTCGACCATGGTGGCTGGTTGTACAGTTTTGCAAATACGCTAAAAACCACTGAATTGTACACTTTCAATGGGTGAATTTATCTCAACAAATCTGTAAAAATAAAATCCAAATACATACCCTTCTGCAAATACTGTTCCAACTGGTCCCTTCTCTCATCAGCCATGGATGCGGTCATTGCGAGATAGTACTTTGGCGGAAAGGGTGGCAGGGAATTTCCAAAGATCCGCCTCAGCTGAAAGATCCAGAAAATACACGCTTCAGGCCCACAGCCTCCAATGCAAGGTTGGTGAGACACCAAAGCCTCCTCTTACGGCAAGTCTCACTGGAGTACTTCGTTTATTTTTTTTTTATTTTATTTTTTTTTAATTTTTTTTTTCAACGTTTATTTATTTTTGGGACAGAGAGAGACAGAGCACGAACGGGGGAGGGGCAGAGAGAGAGGGAGACACAGAATCGGAAACAGGCTCCAGGCTCTGAGCCATCAGCCCAGAGCCTGATGCGGGACTCGAACTCACGGACCGCGAGATCGTAACCTGGCTGAAGTCGGACGCTTAACCGACTGCGCCACCCAGGCGCACCTCGAGTACTTCGTTTAAAATCACCCCTGCCTGGTGGCCAAGAGGAAGAAAAGGGGATGCTTTGATTTTCTCAAGGAGTTTATTTCAGTACATGTTTCCAACGATGCTGTTAGGCATACTACAGACTGACATCTCCAGTCTGAGTTTGGTAGATTGGGATACGTTGTAATTTTTCATTTGTTTTTGCAAGACTGCCCACCCCTTCCACCATATAGTATTTCTCAGATTCAGTCCCCAGTAGAATCTGTGATACCAATGATGCTAGTTAGAAATTTAATTCCCCTACCCCACGTCCACCAAATCTGAACATAACAGCAGAGGTTTACAGCACGCTAGCTGATAAAGTATCCACTAGCCAGTGCTAATGAGCCCCCAGAATGTGGCT